TCATATTTCGGTTCTCTGAAAAACAAAATAGCAAAGGCACCGAGGCTGCGCACAACTCAGTGCAGAGCCCGCCGGGGCTGAGGCGCTTCTGAGTCAGAGATGTTTCCACAGAATCCCGGCCCCGTCCCGGCACACCACGGAGGCCGCTCCTACTAACGTGCCGGGAATACTGGCCCAGGACTAGGCTCGACTCTCTGTGGCATCTGCTAGGATATGGGACCCCGAGGAGCCCAATTGCAACGTCCTGGGCATGCCCCGGCCCCCTCAGGTCTCTGTTCTCTCACGGAGGAGGAGAAGCCCCCACCTGCCCGTCTCTCGACCGCAGGAGAAAGACAGGACTACGGAGCTGTCCGCGGAGCCCACTGCAGCTTGCGTCTGCCGGGTTCTTCTGGACTGGTCGCCATCGAACCACTGTTTCGACTTGAAACCTGCCTAACATGCTGTGGATCGTAAGTTAAAAATTTACAGCTAAGTTTCTTACAAACTTTTCCTTAAAACTAAGGGAATTTTGTTTTGTTGCTTCTGCCAAGGGTCTTCTTTAATCAAGAAATATCAGGCATCGACTTCCTGGAGATCGACCGAGTCACCACACCCCGGGGCTAAGTCACACTATTTTCTCCCTGCCCAGGCTTGGCCCAGAACCCGGGGAAGTCCCTTCTCCTCTGGAATGCGGAATGGTGACAGAGTCCCCACCTGCCTGTCTTCTATCAGGGACAATGAGGTCATGCCTGGGAAGAGCCAGGGGCCCGCGGAACTAAAGCTCTCGTTCGCACGCCTGCACACAAGCGGTCACTGACGCGTGCTCTCGTGGGTGACCAGCACGGAGCACGGGGCAGCGTTTCAGACTGAGGCCTGCTCACACGGGAGAGCCCGCTGCGGGCACAGAGCACTGTAGCGCCGCGGCCGCGTGGCAGCCCGCGAGCACCGCCCCTGAGGACGTGCAGCGGGCGGGAGGCGCAGCGCCCGGCAGTTCTCAGGGACGCTCTGGTCCGACCCGGCCTCAGGACGAGCAGCGCGCCCAGAGCCCGGCAGAGACAGCGCCACCGTGCCGTGCCCGCGGGGCGCTACCGCGCCTTCTGGGTGGCCGCCACCTCGCAGCCCCGCCGGCTACGCGCAGGGACGGGCTTAGGGCGGGGGAGCTGGCGCACCATCAGCGACGGTGAGGGCAGTGGGCCACGCGGACTTTGTCAGAGTGCAAACAGACTTCCCTCTAAGGCACGTGTCCCTCACTGCCTCCACCTAGAAGACGGGGCCACCTCGGCATCTGTGTCTGTGGACAGCTCTGGGCGAGGTGGCATTCTCTCCGCCAGCGGCCCGGTAAATAGACGGGCGTAGCGTGAGGGGGAAAGGCACTCGGGGAACTGCGTGTGCACACGCTCCCCCAACCGCAAGGAACCAGCCGCCGCGCACTGTCGCCGCAAGCTTGAGAGAGCCCACCGCCTTCTGCCTTCCTGGCTTTGTGGTTTACCGCCGGCTTGCGCACATGGCCTCTGTGCCCTGCCTTGACCTCTGCTGCCCAGACGTCTGAGAACAGAGCCCTGACCCCATGGGCGGCTTGGAAACTCAGCACCTCCCAACCTCCTCTCTCCAGACTGAAATAACAGTGCTAACCACACAGAGTAAGACAGCAAGTATGCAACTGGTGATTAAGAAAACTAAGATATGGCCGGGCACCGTGGCCCATGCCTGTGACCCTAGCACTCTGGGAGGCCAAGGTGGGAGGATCACTCAAGGTCAGGAGTTCAAGACCAGTCTGAGCAAGAGCGAGACCCCCATTACTAAAAATAGAAAGAAATTAGCTGGGCAACTAAAAAGATATAGAAAAAATTAGCCAGCCGGGCATGGTGGTGCATGCCTGTAGTCTCAGCTACTTGGAGGCTGAGGCAGGAGGATCGCTTGAGCCCAGGAGTTTGAGGTTGCTGTGAGCTAGGTTAATGCCACAGCATTGTAGCCCAGGCAACAGAGCAAGATGCTGTCAAAGAAAGAAAGTAAGAAAGAAAAAGAGAGAGAGAGAGAGAGAAGAGAAGAGAAGAGAAGAGAAGAGAAGAGAAGAGAAGAGAAGAGAAGAGAAGAGAAGAGAAGAGAAAGAGAGAAGGAAAGGAAAGGAAAGGAAAGGAAAGGAAAGGAAAGGAAAGGAAAGGAAAGGAAAGGAAAAGGGGAAGGAAGGAAGGGAGGGAGGAAGGGAGAGAGAAAGAAAGAGAGAAAGAAAACTAAGATATTGGAAATTTATATGTAAAATTTTGGTTAAACGGTCTTGTGAAAAAATCTAACGAATTTCTACTTCACTGAGTCCTGTGTAATGAATCTATTTGCTGGCACTTCACATACCAAAAATATAAGGCAAAACCATCCAGCTAAAGAAATTATACTTATAAGTGGAATTGAAAATATAGATTTGACAGTAGTTTGGCAGATCCTACAAGTTCAAGAATGCCAACTAGTCATGGCAGTCCTCAAGGGACACTCCATCTGCAGCAAATTATTTGGATTATCACGATAGATAAACAGCAGCATTTTTGTTTTTAATTCAGAATGCCAATGACTGGTCCCACAGTATGCCAGAGGAAAAGAATATTTCAAAAGACACTCGTATCAACCCAAAGGAATGAGTTCTTCCAGTGTGTGTGGTTTAGCAACAGGAAAATTCCTTGCAGACAGAAGGGTGACCACATAATAATGTCTTGCTGGGCCGGCACAGAGCTAAAAATCTGCAGTCTAGGACTGACGCTGATTTTTGATGTCACAGCACTTAACTGTCTTTGGGTGCCTTTTGCATAGCCAAAAGATCAGCATGACTTCCCATTAGTTTTTAAGGAATGGCAGGAACTACTGGACTCTTGTGGTGACAATTTCAACTCCATAAGAGGAGCATCCGTGAGAGATGGTGACAAGCAGCAATGCTCCTGTCACCCGAGGTGGCCTCTGCTCACCTCCTTAGGGCTTCCCAGTCGGAGATCAGAATAAGCCACTGTTTATCCTTAGGGTGGTAAAAGGCATGACTACACAACTCCTTTGAAAAAAAACTAATCTTTGATCAAATTCCATATGGGAAATGTTAGAACAGATTATTTATGCAGTGTTTATCTTCCTAGGAAGCCAGATTTGGTACCTTTTTAGTGAGAGGATAGAAAACTGTCATACAACCAACTCCCACTTTCTGAGTCTCTCTGATGATTAGCTTCTTTGTAGCTGATAATATCGGGCCAAATGGCAGCTCAAACACAAGAGTGGAGGAGAAAGACAAAGGTTTTCCTCAGGCAAGCTGCGTGACTCAACCTCCAACAGAAGCCCATTGTCACATCACTACTGTACTATATTTGGCTCCTTTATTTGACTTTGTTTACATATTCATTTGACTCTGCTTTTTCAAATAAGGGCTTGAGAAGAAGCCAGATTCCAAATGTAAAAGTTACATAATCAACATTTAGAAAGCGCCCAACAAAATAAGGCATTGCTAACTAAAGCTCCCCACACACCCAGCCAAGGCCAGACAGGGCAGTGCTCATCTTTACGGCGGCGGGTGGCGTTAGTCTATCCCAGCCAAGGAACATTTTATATATGGATGAAAAAAAGAAAGACTTTAATTCCAAGGTCTTCTAGTTTTTATTCTTTTTTTGAAGACAGAGCCTCGCTCTATCACCCCAGGTGGAGTGCAGTGGCATTGTCGTAGGCACTATGACCTCAAACTCCTGGGCTCAAGTGATCCTCCTGCCTCCGCCTCCCAAGTAGCTGGGACTACTAATTTTTCTATCTTTAGTAGAGACGGGATCTCACTCTTACTCAGGCTGGTCTCCAACTCCTAAGCTCAAGGGATCCTCCTGCCTCAGCCTCCCACCTCAGCCTCCCAGAGTGCTATGATCACAGGTGTGAGCCACTGCACCTGGCCTTTTAATTCTAAATTTAGAAGGGGTTCCTCCTTTTCCCTCTGAACAAACACTGGGCTTCTGGCAAGCTGAAGTAGGATTTCAGCAGGGAGAGCTGAGATACAGGTACCAGCTTGACTTTTGCTAGCACTTATTTTACTGAAGATTTCAAAAATGAGTAAGTGCTAGTAGCTTGTGTTCATTTTACTCTTCAATAAAACATGCCAAACACCTGCACAATATTTCTTTTGAAGGTTTTAGTGTACATTTGTAGATGTCATCTGATTTATCCTTAAAGACTTTCCATCGTGAAGATTCCAGAGAGCTGCCACACGGTCACTGTGATATAAGAAGGGACGGACAGTGGATCATCTGGGAATAAGGAAGCGGGGCTAGAGGAGCCCTGCGGTCTAGCTAGAGACACCGCTGGCCAGAGGCAGGACTGGCACCATCGCGTCTTCACCACGTTGCATGCCCCTCCTTTGTGTCTAAACTAAGGACACTTACCTGTCTTTGCCCCTTCCAGTCGGTCACTAGGCGCAGGTAAAGCCTTACTTCTTGGTTCTGTTAATGACCACTATACTTAATGACCAGACTCCTGCACATCTGTGTAACACTACAGGTGTGAGATATCAGGACACATGTTTTGGTGGCAGAGCATGGACTTTGGACGTGGGACAAACATGGGCTCAAATCTCACTTCCGTGGCCACGTGACCCTGGGCGAATCATTTAACTACTGGAATCCTCAGCTGGGTAAGCCGGGGCAAGGACCCCTCTCTGGAATGTTGCGCGGGTGAAATTGATTATCCACGGGCACTGCTCAGCGCGGGGTCCCGCGTGGCGGGTAAGGCCGCTGCCCTCTCCATGGTTACTGAGAGCAGCACTGCATAGCCTTTGAACGTCCCCTGGTAAGAGTTTCACGGTGTTGAATCCCCAGGAGGAAGCGGTGACCTTGGTGACGGTCACGTGGCCACGCAGTAGCTCGGCGAAGCTGCCGTGCCACGCGTTTGAAACGCGGGCGGAGGGAACGCGCGCGCCTCCCGGGCGCGGGCGCGGGCGTGGGTGGGCGCGGGCGCAGGTGGGGACGGGCGGGGACAGGGACGCGCGCGGGGACCGGGACCGGCATGTCACTCACGCGGGGGTGACGCCCCTGGGCAGCCCCAGGGCGTTGACGGCGGCGGGCGGCGGCTGCGAGGGCAGCAGGGCGCTCAGGAAGGCGGCGGGCCCGGGGCCGAGCGGCGCGCGGCGGCGGGAAGGCGTCGGGCCCGCGGCCGGCCGGGGCTGCAGGCCGGGCGCGGCGCGGCGACGGCGACAGCGAGGGCGGCCCAGGGCACTCGGGCTCGGCGAAGGCGGCAGGGGCGCGCGGCCCAGCTGCCTGGGCGCCGGCGACAGGGGCGACGGCAGGCTGGAGGAGCCGGGGCTGGAGGCCGGCGAGCCCGGGCCCGACGCGGGGCCCCGGCCCTGCGCCGCGATGAACTGCCGGGGCCGCGCGTAGTTGAAGGAGCCGGAGGACTGCATGGCGGCGGCGGCGCGGGCGGCCAGCGCGCTCATGGGCGCGGGCGGGGACGCGGGGCCGGCCGGCTCCGGGAGGACCTGGCTCTGCAGCCGCTGCAGCTTCAGGGGGTCCCTGCGGGGAGAGAGAGAGAGGCACGGTCAGACAGGGCTGGAAGGGACCCTGGGCCCGGGGCGCTGACCACACGGGCTGCCCCGACCGCCGGCGCGGCTCGGGACCGGTTGTCCCGGCATCGGTTCTGCATGGCACATGGCACGGTGCGGACTGGCTGCGGACCCCGGCGGGAACTCTGTCCGACCTCCAGGAGCCGCGCTTTACTTTAACAGAACCAGGGGAATCAAGAGGAAGACTTTCCAACACGAGCTCTCCCAACTTGCACCCAACTTTTTGGAAAAAGAATTCTATCAGAATGAGAAAACTAAAAGAAAACCACCACTTGATCGAAGTTGCTTTTGGCAGATGCAGGTTAGTCGGATTTGCCCACTTCGGTGCTACCAACTCTGCGTTCCATAAACACCACACGCGGCTTTTTATAAAAGCTCTGCTCTCATCTCTGCATTTGCTGCCCGAAAAGGTCTTTAGTATACACACGATTTTAGTGGTAAACCCTAAATTGCCAATTACTTAGGCAAACCTTAATGCATATCGATGTTGTATACATCTCAAACACATGCAAGCAAGCGACACCTATCTTTAACAGGTAGGTGTTCAATAAGCAATAGCAAATTAAATTTGTAATGTAGATTTAATTGCACAGATATTTTCCATTGAGAAGAGATAGTTTGATTTTTAATTTTTGGAACAAAAGTAAGCAGCTAGCAATTATCTAATATCTCACTCCTTTATTCAAAAGCTTCCCTGTTTAGCTCAATTGTACATCTAAGGTGTTTTCTGTTATTTATATCAGGTAAACAGAGGGAGCAATAGCTGTCCAAAAAAAAAAAAGCCTCAACCAAAACTTCAACAGAAGGTGGCACTATAAAAGCAGATAAAACAAACAATTCTACAAATAGGCAAAGCTATGGGCCTAACCTTAAAACTAAAAAACAAAAACCCCACACTTTCTTATCCACAGGGATTTAATCTTCAAAAATCAAGCTTTTAGAAACTCAGCAGTAAAAACAACGGAAGCTGCTTATAAAAGTCAAAAAAGACTGAGGTGTGTGAGCCATAGTTACTCGTGTGGGAACGGCAGCAAACTCCGCACTCCCTCCCGGGTCTCCCATTACCTTCTGCGATTCTCCAGTAAAGTGATCACACTTAAAGCCATGAAGAGACAAGAACTGTCCTGGGAACTGAAAGGCATAACGAGAAGGTGGTTCTATATTCTTAACCCGTGCAGAGCATCAAAGACTCCAACAACAAAGAACTCCGTGGGGTCCTGCTGAAGTGAACTGCAGCGTTTTAAAAGCAGCCAGGCCGCTGCTGGGCTTCGCCACTGCCCTGAGCTCCAGTCGCCTGTGTGGCTTGGGCGGCCTGTCCAGCACACATGTTCTTGAGTTTCATGTATTCAGAACCGGCCCGGGAATAGAACTCATGAAAACCACCCAGCGGCTCTAAAACCCGCCATCCGGCACTCTCGCCCGAGTCCCCAAACGCTCCTTTTCCTGAGCCCCTGCCTTGGCCGTCTCTCTCACGTTCCCTAGCTATGCTAGCACGCGTTGTCTTCCCGGCATGCTCGTCAACAACACTCCTCCACACTCTGCACGCCACCGGACGTGATCTGCGCGGCCCTCCTCCAAGGCACGGCCCCCCAACCCGGTCCCCGCCTGGGCTCACAAGGCCCACAGCCGCGGCCGTGTTCGAGGTCTTTCGAGCCAGGCCCGGCATCGGCAAAGAGCTGTGTGTGGTGGCTCTGCTGAGGCGGCCACAGACGTCACGCCGTGCCCTGCACCGGAGCCAGGACGGCTCTCCCGGGATGAGGGAGTTGCTCGCAAGAGCCGGGCTTCAAAGAAGCAGGGCAGGAAAGCCCAGGCCACCAGTAGTTGGTTCTCCGCGTGGCCGGCCTACTCATTGGGGCATTAAAAAGAACCCCCGGGTTCGCCCAAGTGGGCTTAAAGCTGCTGACTGGCTACTTTTAGTAAGAAGTGACAGTTCAAGACGTTATTAACGTAGCATCGCACGAGACAGGAAGAGGCGCTCCGGTGACCTGGCTAATCCTGCACTGCAGAGCTGTGCTGGCGCTTCTGCTTCCCCCGTTCCTCGGTGGTGCAGCCCTGGGTGAGGACCAGAACATGCGGGGGACTGGAAGGGCAGGGAGGGGACAGCAAAAAACACACGTTTTGAATCTTAAAAGTATCTGACTTGATTTCTGTGCAAATAATAATTTTTTTAAAAAAAATACTGGAGTTAAATGGATTTAACAGCTGGATTCTGATGTGATGAAACGCACAATTTTATTTTCTTGGTTCTCATTTTTATTAAAAAATGTTTTCTTTTTAAAGACAGGATTGCTCTGATCCTCTTGCCTCAGCCTCCTGAGTAGCTGAGACTACAGGCCACCATGCCCAGCTAATCTTTAAAAAAATTTTTTGTAGAGACAAGGCCCCACTATGTAACAGTCCAAGCTGGTCTCGACCACCTAACCCTCAAGTGATCCTCCTGCCTCTGCCTTCCGAAGCGCTGAGCTTACAGGTGTGAAGCACCGCACATGGCCTAGGTTGTTTTTATAAATTTTCACAGAGATCAAAGGGCCAAGTGAATGAAAGGTACCGGAAAGGCAAGGCTGTCTAAAGCGTTTGAAAAATACTTAAAAGTTGTTATATAAAAAAAAAAAATCATCACTTCTCCAGTCCCCTCCCCCCTTTTTTTTTTTTTTGCAGTCCTTTCTCTGGAAATGAAACGGGAGTGACACTGACCTGAACCTGTTGTGAGCACTGAGCACAGGATGGAGAGCTGGGTTGTGCGTCGAGAGAGCCCTGGTTGCGAGCACGCTTCGAGCGCCATCTTGTCTAAATCTTTGGTCTTGCCCAGCTAACCCATCACACTCCTCCAGGCTTCTTTTGTTCCCCCCTCTCCACCACAGTCCCAATTCAGAAAGTCTAAGAAGTTCCCCACGTTTGCCTATTCTTCAGTTCTACAAGTTCCAGTACTTAAAGGAAGTGAGACTGTCTGGACTTGCTGTACCCGGTCATGGTCCATGTCTACATGGGAAACAGATTAAAGTAACCTGTTCAAGGTCACAGAGCAGGTTACCTGCAGAGCCAGGTTAGAACCTAAATCTGTCCCTGGCTGCTTTCCCTACACCAGGCATGACAACATAAAAGAACCTTGACCTTCCACATGACCTAAATATTTGTTGCCTCCTCCTGAGTACTTGATTCACTTTTATGCCTCTCTGTAGCGACAGCACCCAGGGCCTTTAGGATCTGAATCACCAGTCAAGAGTTTTGTTTTTGCTTTTGTTTTTAAGAGATGAGGTCTCACTCAGTCACCCAGCCGGATCCATCTAGAACGCGGTGTGCAGTGGGGAATCTGCAAGAATGAACTACCACTGAGGGCAAAGTGTCATGCCTTTCAAGACGAGGAACCGGTATCTGGCCACGTGTCTTTACAAAATAGCAATTCTCTCCCTTCTCTGTGCCGCCCCAAACATGTTATCTTCAGTGTCTTCCTCTCTTCTCACAGGTAAGCTGCTCCATAAACATCTGCTGAATGTAACTGGCATCCCTAGATTTCTCTAAAGCACCCAACTAACTCCCGGTTCCATCCAGCTCCGGGCACTCACGCCACACAGCCGCACCCTTCCCGGGGAGTGGCCGCGGTGGCCTTGGTGCCTGCAGGCAGGTTCCGGAAGAGCAAGGGCAAGACTCGACCACACGGAACCGTCCAACTCCGGCTCTGCCACGGGCTGTTTATGGTCCCAGGCGATTCTTTTATTCTTTCTGGGGCAATTCCTCAACTTTATCATGGAAATTTATAACGTAACATCTGCACAGCCCTAACAAACTTTTAGATTTTTATGACACGTCCTCTTTAGACCTGTAAGATTTAAACATTATAAATAAGCATTTTAACGGAACTGGTAAATAAGCAAGCAAGTCCAGGTATGGTATTTATTTTTATATACGCACACACCTTAACCTTATGCTATTGTTTTCATACTTGTTTCATCTGTTTTGAATATATATATATATATATGTATTTTTTTTTTTTTTGGTAAACAGAAATAGATTTTAAAGGGATTAGAGAGGCAGACTAAACACTAAAGTAGGTCCATGGTAAATATTTTTATAAAAGGAAGGATACTTTTATTCTGTGAATAACCATCACCTAATTGGTTAACACTGTCATATTTCTTTTCTTAGGACAGATATTCTTACACGTGAATTCTGCCCAGGAGAGAAGCAGCTCCCGCGGGGACGGGGCTGGCTGCGGGTCTGCTGTGGTGCTCGGTGCTCAGTAGCCACGGCTCTTGTGGTGATGAACTGTTCCCCTCCTTCCACCACAACCCTGTCTTATCCTTTGACCTGATTTTGGAAATATTCCAAAAGTCGACGTACGCCATTTTGCTCAACCCGAGGCTAAGGGTGTATCATGCTCACGACCTGGGGTCCAGCAGTCCCCGGCTCTCCTCCATCCTCGTTCTTGACATCTCTGCATCACCTGACAGCGCGGTCACCCGCCCGCTCTTCCTAGAGGCACTCTCCTCCCCGACGGCGCCAACCCACCTCCTTGTGTTGCCCCCGACGGCTTGGCTCCTTCCAGCTCCTGCACACGGTGTCCCACCGAGAGGGAGACTTCCTTTATGCCCCTCTGCGCCAGCACTCGGCTGTGTCTCCCTCACCACCCTAAGCCAGACTCGGCCCTGAATCCGGATCGCAGGACCCGTTTCCACGTGACATGAAGGTGCCACCTCAACTTTACAGAGTCCCTCTCACCCCAGTTTCTCCCCCTAATATCCCGAATTCCCACAATTTGGCCCCAAGCAGTCCTGATAACCTTATCTCCAACTGCTGCTCTATCTCCACCTTTTCATTTTTCCACATCAGTCTCACTCTTCGGCTTTTCCTTCCTCGCGGCCTCTCCGCACTGCTCCCCTCCACCCCCACCACCGTCTCTCCTCCCACCGAGTCTGCCTTCCTATTTCTGTGCCCGTTTCGATGTCTCTGTCTCTTTAAGCCCTCCCCGACCCCACAGGGCAGGTCCCTCTCCTCCTCCATGGCCCGGCCCCAGGCTGGCGCGGTGTGTCAGGGCGTGGCGCCGTCCGCACCTCACGCCGACAGGCCAGACATGTCCTTCGTTCCCTTTGGATCATTACAGCGTTCGTGCACAGATGTCACGAAACACCTCTGAAGAGGCTGCTGGGCCGCGTTTCTTGTGGCACGTGAGGGGAACATGTGTCTTGTGCCAGAGGAGAGACGCATACACACGTCCACGAGAGCTCTCACAGAGAGCGCCCGTATGTCTCTGGCTTCTGAGTGCCGCAATCCCAGCCTCCCACGGCCCAGCCAGCGCGCCTGTGAGCCTGGCGCGGCAGCCCCCGTGCGGCACCTGGGCCGCACCGTCCCGTCCCGTCAGGGGCAGCCCGGGCCTCGCCCGTTTTCTGTTTTATTTGGTTGCCAGTCAAAACGCAATACGGCCTGTGTTTGCCTCGGGAGGTGCCTCGGGGATGTTTTCAAGTCCCCGGTGAGAACTTGAGTCACCTCTCGGCAAGTCTCTCCTCCGAGAGGGCCACTGCTCCCGCCCCGGGGTGGACTGTGTCCTCAGATGCCAGGTGGGTCCCCGTGTGGATGAGGCCCCAGCTCCCTGAAGGTCACCGTGGGGCGAGCCACAGAGACCCAGCAGAGTGCCACTGACGAGGCCGCGCTAACCGGCCGTGTCGGGGAGACTCCAAAGCACCGGTGTCTGCCCGGAATGTCACAGCGGTGTCTGTCCCCGGTTTCCCAGTGCCCTGGAGGTCCTGCCAGAACTGCTCACGGCCGATACCGAGCTAAAGAATGTGTAGGCGGAGGTCAGGCTTTATTTTTGGTTGCTGGCATGGTAGTGAGCATTCATGAAAGCAAGTGATGACTCACTAGTAGGTGGAGAATTGAATGAGTTCCTTCCTAAAATCAGTTTCCTGAAACTCCAAGTGGAGCAGGCACTTGTTCTCACGACCCAGCGTCCCTCCTGTGTCTGGGAGCAGCATCACCCCTGCCCGCACTACCTGCTTCTGCCCTGCTCCTTGCAGGTCTGCCAGGCACAGCCCTCTAACCTTGGTGGCAGGGTGGGCACCTGACCCCGGTCAAGCCCGTCACTGCATGGCTTCAGGTGGCAGGGTGGGCACCTGTCCCGGGTCTAGCCATCACTGCATGGCTTCAGATGGCAGGGTGGGCACCTGTCCCGGGTCTAGCCATCACTGCATGGCTTCAGGTGGCAGGGTGGGCACCTGTCCCGGGTCTAGCCCCATGGTTCAGGTGGCAGGGTGGGCACCTGTCCGGGTCTAGCCTCACGCATGGCTTCAGTGGCAGGGTGGGCACCTGTCCGGGTCTAGCCATCACTGCATGGCTTTCAGGTGGCAGGGTGGGACACTGTCCCGGGTCTAGCCATCACTGCATGGCTTCAGGTGGCAGGGTGGGCACCTGTCCCAGGTCTAGCCCGTCACTGCATGGCTTCAGGTGGCAGGGTGGGCACCTGTCCCGGGTCTAGCCCGTCACTGCATGGCTTCAGGTGGCACGGTGGGCACCTGTCCCGGGTCTAGCCGTCACTGCATGGCTTCAGCAAGCCCCCAAGGATAGAGATGCGATCCAGGCCAGGCCGGGCCAGCCAGGGCCCTTCCCTTGGGTTTTTCTCACTGAAGATGGAAAGGCAATGCATCTCTTTGTCCTTTGACAGCTAACAAAAAGGACAGACTCCCCTAGAGTTGCTGGCCATCACAGAAGAGCCCACAAGGAAGCCAATACGTAAAAAAGCGGCTGAGTTGAGAGATAAAAGACAACAGTTGAAATTGGGATACTATTTTGGCACCTGAAACTAGTTTTATCTCTGAATTCCATGTATGAATCAGCTTCACCCACGGCCCCTCAGTTCCCTTTTGCTTAATGGTCTCTAACAACACTTTAAGAAAGTGGCCTTGAAAACCCACCAGTCCAATTTCCTTATTTTACAGGTACGGAAGTGGAAACGGGGAGAGATTCAGTAATTGCACAAAAAGCATGACAAGAACACCTTGTTGGTAAGAATAATATTAAGAATTAATCTAACAGCACTGTGTAAAGTCGACAAGTCAATGAACAGATGGATACATATATCCTTCGCACAGCTGTGCAAAAAAACCACCAGAAGGACCAAAAGCAAATAGTTAAAAGTGCTGATCTCTGAGTGAGACTAGCATGAGGTGGAAGGAAGAAATATCTTTTATTTTGCTTTTTGTAACCTTCTATACTGTTTGAATATTTTTAACCATGTACATTCAAAATATTAAGATGGTGGTTAAGATCATTCCAGAAGTTTGCATCTTAAAGAAGGCCGTACTGTAAAAGACGACACAGGGCTACTGTCCTGGAGGCCTGAGAGGGGTCATTCATCCTCCTGTGTTTACAGCCCCAGGGGCTCCCACCAAAGCCGTTGGTCAGCCGTGACTATCGCTGCTGCTGCTGCTGCTGCTGGCCGCACCGTGTCACCGCGACTGACCGCTAGTGATGATAGCTAACGATCACCACGCACTCACTGTGCACAACAAACACCATCGTAGCTGCTTTATTTATACAAACTATTTCATCTTTATAAACGCCCCAGGAGACAGGCCACTTTTATCACCCCCATCTTATGGAGGATGAAACTGAGGCGCAGAGGTCCAAGTTCGTCGCCAAGGTTACGCGGCTGGGGTGGGATTCAAACCGAGGTCTGCTCGGCACCGGCCATTACGGTGTCTCCCAGCAAAGCACCTTGACTCGCGGGCTACTTACCACGCACACGGTGACTTCCTCAGCCTCAGGGACCTTTCTGAAGAGGGTTCCACCCCAGATGGTGGCTCTGACCCCGTCACTCCTAGCCCCTCTGCTCTGTGTCACCGGTAACAAAACAGCTGTGCATAGAGACAGCCTCGCTATGCCCTAAAGACACCCCACATATTTAACTTTAGGGAGCTTCGTCTCACATGCTCGGCTTTAAAAACTTCATGTATTGGAGAAACTACAAGAGTATACAAAGCAACTTGAAGGAGTTGGTTTTAAAACTAAGAAAATAAATTTGCTTCCAGAATTTATTTTATTTCAGTATTGGCATTTATTACATGGAGAAGCCACTGAATGCTCAGTCTCTACTAACTAAACATCACGATGTCACAGCAATCCACTGCATGTCCACGATATGCAGCACGGGGCCAGGAAGGGAATGAAACTGACTGATAAAGGTTCTCAGTTCCTATTTCACAAGTAAAATGTGAATCCAAATTTCTGAGAACCACCAACAGACCTGTCACCTAATAGCAGTGAGTTTTCACTTACAGTTCTGCCCTTCCCTATCCTCTCTGAACAAGGTGTTTGTTATAGGAAAATAAAGAAACAGAAGAAGAAGAAAGCCCAAAACAGTTGGAATTGAATCCTCAAAATTAGCTTTGTTTTTGAAATCACGGACGCCCTGTTATAGCCTCTCCTGCTCCTGGGCCACCCGGTGTCCCCCTGGCAGAGTGACGGTGCCACCGATTATTCGTGCGGCCTTGAACCAAATCATTCCGGCTCTGACTCTCCTTGTACCTGTGAAACAGAGGGGGGAGTCGGACTATTTTTAAATAGTTCCCTTCAAATATTTTTTAAGGTCTCTCCAACCTGTGAAGCCCACTGCCTAGTCTTTCAAGACTACACGTCTGAACGTTGCTAATACTGCTCATCTAGGATGTCACTCTATCTCTCGAGAGACTACCACTAAATATGCTGGAATTAAAAAAAATTCCCATTTCCATAGGCCCAGAACTCAAGAACTAAACATTTCTGAATAAATAACAAGCTGCCAGTAACATTTTCTACATGTTTCCATCTCGAATGGAACGCGCAGTTGGACCTGGGTGCTCAGAGTAACCTATGTTCTCTGAAAGGCCGCCCTCAGACTGCCAGCCTACATGTTCACAGCCAAGACACGCGGCCGAGGGCCCCCGGGTGACGCAGGGCTTGCCTGCCCCCGGACTCCCCTTCCAACTGTCCACTGCAGAAAGGAAAAGGTTCTTGAAAAAGCTCAACAGTGCATTCTGGCAAGCCCGAGAGACGTAGCTTAGCAGCATCAATTAAGAGGTTTGTGGCCATGGAAAAGAGCTGTGCGTCTTAAATGGCTTTGGGCCTTCTTAGCTTTTGACCAACGGACCCCGACATTCCTCAGAGGCCAAAGGATGGGCTGCAGCCCTCACGGGGCCGGCCAGCCTGCCTCCCCCGCGGGGACGGGCCCGGTCCTCCCAGCAGGACACGAAGTCTGTCCAAGTCTGTCTTGGGAAGAACCGTAATAAACGAGGTTCCCTCCCTGAGCAATGGCTAAAACCACTAAAATAATTCTTAGATAAAAACAACCCAATTATTGAATGCAGTTACTCTTAAAGGAAAAAATGAGAGGAATTTGTCATAGCTACGTGAAGTTTCCAACCTGGTTACAGATGACTGTGTGTATTATCTGGCATTCTATCAAATGGGCTTTTCCATAATATGGCATTTATTTTTTTATTTTTTATTTATTTATTTAGAGACAGAGTCTCACTTTGTTGCCCAGGCTAGAGTGAGTGCCGTGGCATCAGCCTAGCTCACAGCAACCTCAGACTCCTGGGCTCAAGCAATCCTCCTGCCTCAGCCTCCCGAGTAGCTGGGACTACAGGCATGCGACACCATGCTCGGCTAATTTTTCTTTTTTGTATATATATATTTTTTTAGTTGGTCAATTAATTTTTTCTATTTTTAGTAGCGTCGGGGTCTCGCTCTTGCTCAGGCTGGTTTCGAACTCTCAACCTTGAGCGATCCTCCTGCCTCGGCCTCCCAGAGTGCTAGGATTACAGGTGTGAGCCACCGCGCCCGGCCCATAATATGGTATTTATGACCATTTCCAACACAATAAAAACGCTGCAAAATCTAGAAATGCCTTTCAAAGGAAGAAAACTTTACAGCAGAGCACGCACAGCTGCAGTACTGAGCTTATTTCACTGTACTTTATCTTTTCCTAAACACGCGACGCCTACTGCACATGCACCTGGGTTTCACGGCTGCTCTGTGAGATGAAGCACGGCAGGTGGCCCTCCAGTTAGGGAAGTGGCAGGCAGCCGGCACAGCCTCCCTCAGGTGAGGACACTAGGTGAGAATTTCCTTCACTGCAAGGCTTCATCTTCTAAGTAACAGAACTAAAAAGTCATTTCCAACAAGAATACAGATAAAAGAAATACACGTTCCACATCAGGTTCCAGCAAGGGCGACTTCTGCAGGGTGGGGGTGAGCCCCTGCTGGGAAGCCGCCCGTGCAGCAGGGCGACCTCCCGGGAACGCAGCCTCACCGTGTGGGCGTGTGCACGCGTGTGCCCGTGCACGCGACTAGATACGGTGGTGCCAGCGCGCCGTACATCTTCAAGTTTAAATACGATAAGATCGTGTCTAAGGACCGCCGTCCTGAATTCCTAAGGTAAAAATGGTACGGAGCATACCTTTCACCCCTGGCTCGTCCTTTTAGGTGTGATCTCCTCTCTTGATTGTGGCCTCTAGCCACCTCAAGAGCACAAAGCAGCTCATACCAGGGAACCAAGATCAGTAAGTATTTTTGTAGCTAGTATCTTCTGAATAAGACAGGATTAACGTAACTGTTTTAAGTCTGGAAACAAAATTTACTAGTTATTTTTTTTTTCTTGCTGTGGACATGTGTTGATCCCTAAAACACAAAAGATCCCCAGAATTTACAAAGATGCCAAAATCAGCCAGAAGACATTACGGTCATTCATGATGTATGTTGACGTGTTGATGACACCGTAGAGACTAAACCTTTTCTTTTCTGCCTTTCAGGAGCATCCTGCCGCCACCTTTCAAGCCATCCATCGCTGTGCAGTGGCAGGGGGACATGAGGGCACTGGAGACTTGGGACCGCCAGGAGCCAGCGTCCTCGCCGAGTCCTGGAGTCCTTCCCCTGGCTCGCTACCCTCGGCCAGTGCGGCCGGAGGGGTCTCTCTCCGTCCTCGGAGGGCAGGTCTGCACGGAGCTGTCCGCCTAGCCCGAGGGTGAAGTGTCAGTGAGTGCTCGGCCCGGCCACACCTCCCCATCTCCTCTCCACTGCTCAGTTTCTCTCTCCACTGGTCACCTCGCGTCTACCCCACAGTGCTCACTGCGACACCCCCGCTCGTCTCTGTCTCTCTCCCACTCTCTGCCCCATTGCCCAGAGTCCGAGCCCCACGAGAGAGGGGTTCCGTGCTGACAGTCGCGGCCGCGGTTCAGGACACAGCAGGTGCTCATCAAACGCGCCCCTCGCCAGGACTGCAGGTGGCGCTGCGTCTGGTGGGCGCTACGCTGGGCAGCGGTGTCCGGACGCGGGAGGGCGGAGGCGGCCGTGCAGAGCACGCGTGGCCAAGGCCCGTGTGCGCCCGGTTCACCCCTCCAGACCCATCGCGCCGCCCAAGAGGGCCCTGCCCACGGCGAGGGGACCACACCCCAGTGGTGGCCGGTCCCACGGCCCTCGGTGTGCAGCTCCCACCCGACCTCGAAAACTTAGTTCAAAAACATTCTGTGTGTGAAATGGTCTCGTTACTAGTTTTTATATCACCCACTTGTTAAAACGCTACTTTAACTACACTGGGTTAAGCAAAACATATTGTTAAAATCAATTTCACTCATTTTCTCTTCCCTTTTTAATGCGACCAGCAGAAGACACAAACTGCATTCGTGGCAGTTCACGCGGCGTCTCCGCCCGAGGGTCCCTGGAGGCCTCCTTCTGGAAGTCCCCCCTTCTCACAAGGGTTGGGGTGTCTTGGTCCCACTGAGACGCCCTGAGCAGGGCTCACCGCGGAGCTGGGACTCGGAGGACCTGGTCTCTCACGGGATAGTGGTCACGGATCTGCCCACGAGTGGCCCAACGCTGTCCTCTAATTTCCCACTCGTCGTCTCCCTTACTTGCTGACTCCCCCCGGCGAGCAACAGCTAATGACTCTAAGACTGCCTTTCCCAGCCGTCCCAGCCCAAGGCGTTCGGGCATGGTGGGTGCCGTCAGGACAGACGAGGGACCGCGTCCTCCGCGCACTCTCCTCCAGGCGCCAGGCAGACGCCGCTCCACACGGGCCCATCCCACCCAGCGGGGCCGCACCACTGGCGCCGCCCGCACGCGGGGAGGAAGCCTCGACTGCGCAGACGGCGGGCTGTGGGGCAGGCGTGCGTCTGCGCTCTCTCTCACGGGAAACACAGCGCCAGTGTTGGGTCGCGCGACAGAGCAAAAACGTGGCAACGTGTCGACAAAAGGAGGGAAGAGCAATCACCAAAGCCACACAGCGAGAGCTCAGTAAGCGTGAGCAGCCGCCGCCCCGTTCCACTGGTCAATCAGCCGTTCATCCGTGAACCGTGTGCTGACCTGCAGATGGTAGGTACACTGGGGACCACGTCAGGTGCGCGTGGATTCTGCCCTAGGCACCACGGTAGCCTGGGGGGAGGGAGAGGCAGACAGCGCACACGCACGCGCGCGTGCGCACACACACACACACACGGCTTCTCCTGCGTGCACAAGCTGGTGGGGACGGTGGGAGGGTCCAGGGTCCTGAGACTGAAACGTCAGAGTTCTAGCTCTTGCATAAATCTTGGATCGACATAGAGAGGGAAAAACACATTACTGGCTAAACCAGAAAAATGTGTCCCAGACGTCTGCGGAGGTTGCACAGTGAGGCGGTGAGTGAGGCTGGAGACGGGCCTTGTGTCAGCCTCCCGCGTGGGAGGCTGCAGGTCCGAGAGGTGGCGGCTGTGCCGTGAGGGTCCCAGAGCCCGGTCTCCCGCCGAGCCCTGTCCGGCTGCCCCTGGGCATGAGGTGGGGGGAGGTGGCCGCCGTCCGCCCGCCTCCGTCAGGGCAAGTCCCGGGGCCCGAGCCCCGCTATATATAGCAGGGGACTTGCATAAGAGCGCTGTTACAAAAGGGCAGTGGAGAGGGAGAGAGGACGCCAGCTGAATGTTTTCCACCAAAGCTCATTTTAGCAGATGCATTTTCTCTGCTTCCTCGATAACGGTGCACCAGGCCTGTCCCCGGTGCCTGTGGACCCACAGTGGTGTCTGTGCTGGGCACCTGTGACCCTGACAGGTACACCGCACTCATGCCCGCCCTTCATTTCATGTGTCACGCCCCCCCCCCCCCTGCCATTCGCCCTGGGGGCTGCGGAGGAGGCCACGGTGACTTAGACTGAATCCACAAAGTATCTGGGATAATGTTGGAAAGGAATGTTCTAAGCTCAGCAGGATGGGTGACTCACACATAGCTGTTCAGTCTATCTTAAGATAGAAATACTTTACAGTTTGTGATTGTTCCAAAGTAGAGCTTTCTTGTCCCAGCAGATCTCTCACACGCTGTGCTGCCCAGGGGCGCCTAGCTTCTGTTGAATTTGTGTCTGTCTGTCTACGTTCCGTGGCCGTGACGTCATGCAACAGTGACGGGGTGCTGCGTGTGGTCTTCCCCAGGGCAGGTGGTTTGCCTGTCGTCCTGGAGTCCCTCCCAGCCCACGTTTGTCCTGGTGTGCGGATCCGTGCTGGGACAGCAGATTACTGACAGGGTCCCCCCGAGTGCTAATAGCTAACACGGAAGGCTCCCTCGAGCTTTGCTCCATGCCCTTTATAGGTAATGACTCGTTTCTGGATCCCCATTTTAAGGATGAAGACACAGGTTCAGAAAGGTTAAGTGACCAAGAGCTGCGCTCTGTCAGACGCTGCTGGGACCCTCTCCCTCCTCGGTCAACGCAGGTCACCAACCCTGCTTCCCGGGTCAGCACCTGGGGGTCAGCCCCGCCCGGCCCCGCCCCACCCCCATCTCGCCCCAAGCCCACCGAGCCCTGCCCTCCCCCTGCACAATCCCATGTGCCCTTCTCCCCCTTGTAGCCCAGAGTCCCCAAACCCACGTCTCATCTGTGGCTCTGACTCCTGCCTCCAGCAGCCTCTGCCTTCTCTTGGGATAACTTCCAGACTCCTCACCTGGCCCCCCAGGTGGCCGCCTGGCCGGGGCCCCTTCTCCCCTCCCCCGCCCCTCCCCGCCAGGCGCCACCCTCCCGGGAAATGCGGGTCTCCATCTCCCACCGGATGCGGGTGCCAGCGTCACCCCCAGCAGAGGCCCTTCCTCTGCTCCCACACCCCGAGAGGCCCCCAGTCCCCACCCCCCACCCCCAGTGCCACCCTTCACAGCATCTGCCACGAGAGCTCTCGCCCGCATCTTCCGTCTGGTCTCTGATCATCCTAGAACATGGACCTCGAGGGCCTTCTCTGGCCTCGGCACAGCGAGAACCCGGAGGCGGCGCAGCCCCGGGAGAGGAGCGATGGCACTGGTGGACGGAGCACCCGGGACCCGCTGGCGCCCTCCCGTGGGGCCTTTCTGGATCCACTGGGTCACCCGCACAGTAACCTGCACCACATGTTTTAAGGCCAAAACGTCTATAGAAAGGAACCTTCACGCGCACACGGGACACGCCAGCGGCTGTGCGGGCTGTGTGCGAGATGTCGCGTGTCCGGCTCTCCCAGCTCTGCCGTCCCGGGTCCCCTCCCCACCACTGATGAGCTGCCCACGACTTTGCCCCGGCAGGGACGGCACTGTGGTCTCTCTCTCGTTTCTCCTGAAATGGCTAACGCTGTGAAAACTGATTACATCAGTCCTAAAAAGCTTGCCATTTTTGCAAACTTTAACAGTGAGTGAAAAATCAATATTGCCAAAAACTGAGGCAGGAAAGAAGGTGATTCCAGCTCAAAGTCCTGCTACCCGCTGACATCAACCCTAAATATTCTAAATACGGTACATGTTTCCTGATACGCACATCTAGAAAGCTTCATAGGGGGTTAGGAGAAATAGCACCCACCTGCTTAAGTAATCTAAAAGCCCCCAAAACAGAATAAATCCAATTATCATGGGTGAAGGCGAAGGTTAATGCCTCTTGCAAAAGAACCAAAAATTCAAACTTAAGGAGCAATTGCAAACTCTCGTAAGGTATCACTAAGCTTTTGCTCTTGTTTTCATTCGGCTCTCTTGCCCACCCCTCGGTGAATCTGACAGACGTGAATTTGATTCAGCCTCTACCGCACACTGGGCCCTGGGATCTACTACACGCAGGAAACAAACCTGGCAGCGGCGGCAGCGGCGGACGCAGCCCTGCCTCCACGAAGCCACACGGAGCCCCACGTGGCCACAAACAGAAGTGAGAGCACCTGCCCGAGTCGGGGGAGCACGGCTGGATCTGCCCCCTGGCTCTTTACCAGGTAACTTACCCAGCCTCCCACCGGAGCAGCACTGAGCGTCTGACGACCGGCGCCGGGTGGCCGGGGGTGGGCGTGCCGTGCTGGTGAGGGTCCAGGTGGCGTCTGTCTCTGACTCTCTCTGCAGGGCGGGCGGTGCCCAAACGCCCGACAGCGACAGACAGCGGGGCGCAGTGCAGCGCCAGCGCGGCCGGCGCCCCCCAGGACTGGGCTGAGCGGGCTCCTCCTTCCCTGCCTCCGTGTCCGGGTGTCCGGGAGAGCTCGCCACGCGCTGGGAGTCCTGACGGGCAGGGCTGGCCCCGCACCACGCTGCTCTGCTGGGCGGGGCCGCTGTTTAGGGTTGTCATCAGCCGACGTGCTTAGCAGAGCCAATTTATTTTTGGAAAAAAACTTCTAGCATTAATGGCTTTTGATGGACTTCTTATTCAAGTGCTAAGGTGTGGGTCTTTCGATGGAAACAGGTGTGAAATGAATGCAGAAAACCCGCAAGAGACTGGACCACTGTCCTATTAATCCACTGGACGGCTTTGTCCCGCCTCGCTCGTTCCCTTCACACGCTTAGGCCACGTCTGACGTCTGTGGCCACGGGGGAGACGCACGCATCCCAGCGACGGAGAACATGAACGCAAGCCGGACCGCGGAGCCACTGTCCCCAAGGCAGACAACAGACGCGGCACGTCCGCGGGCTGGAGACGGGCGGGGGGACGGGGACGGGAGAGAGGACACGAGTGGGACAGAGGCGGGGACAGGGACAACAGGAGCCGAGCCCACGCTGCCCGCCTGGCCGCCCCCTCACTCTCTCACCCTGCGTGTGCCAGGCGCCGGGCGGGGCTGGGGTCGCTCTCGCTGGGCAGCGGCGGCAGAAGCCCGTGTTCCGCACGGCACTCCACGCCTCCGAGCCCGGCCCCGGCGAGCACGCCACGCTGGAAACGAGAGTCCCAGGCGCCGTGTCCTTAGAAATCCCGCGAGTGACAGAGACTGGCTTCCCCGCGGCAGACGGGGCTGTTTCCGGGCTTTTCGGCAGGTGAGCGGCGTGTGGAGCCGCACAGGGGACGTTCGAGGGGCGGGGAGTCGCGCGGCCCAGACGCGGCATGAAGTATGCAGGCCGCCTGCTAGCCAGGGAGGCGCTGTCCCCTTACGGCCTACATTCCTGGCGGGGTCGCAGCCCAGGGAGCCTCAGCTCTCTCGCCCAAGGCGGCCGGTGCAGGCCTGGAGGCCCCCCACCCCCGGACTCCTCGGCCGTGGCAGGGCACTCCGCTCGGGGACCAGGCAGATGAAGTGTCCTGGCCGCGTGCTCCCACGAGCCTTGCCCGCTGGTAGACGGCCCTTCATTTCCCAGTTTCCCTCAAGTATGAGGGAGCCTTAAGAGCATTTACTGCTTTTTTAAATTAAACGAATACACGGAACAGCCAGGGAGGAGCGGTACTCGTTCACGCCACAGTTTAGCAAGTTCATCCGTGAGGATCTGTAACAAGACAGAATAAACAGGCCCAGGAGCTCTCTTCTCACGGGGAGGGCCTGGGGGGCAGGCCGGCCCGGCCTTGCCTCCGTCACCCCAGCCCTGCGGTCGGCACGCGCGGTCTGGGCCCGTCGCTGTGTCCGCCCACCCCGCCAGGCCCCGGGGCTCGCCGCTCCAGAAACGCGATCGTGACGCCTGCCCGTGAGACTCCTCCTGAAGCGTAGGTGAGACCGTGAACGCGAGGGTCTGGTGTTGAGCCTGGCAAGGACTTGGGTCTGCTCTCTCTTTCTTTCGATGCTGGTAAGATACGAACATCAACTGTAGCTTTAGACTGAAAGGCTTCTCAAGCTCTCAGAATCTAGTGGAGAATTCAATTCAGACTTTAAAAAAGCAGACATTAAGTTCTCCCCAGATCTGTCGATGATGCATCGTTGCTACAGAGACTCTCACAGGCCAAAACACACACCTGCCCGTCTCTTCCTTTCTCTTCGCTGGAGCGCTACAGAGAGCAGCCCTCTCCTGCTGGAGCGCGCACAGTGAAGGAAGATCTGATCCGGCTCCTTTGAAAAGCAAACAACGCAACACCCCAACCCTTAACATAACCCCGACTCTTTAAAAGAAAGCTGAGCTTGCAGGAGGGGCCGTGGCGGCCTGGAGCCCTGGAGCCCCGGAGCCCTCCGGAGCCCGCCGCAGCCCTCCGGAGCCCGCCGCAGCCCCGCTCTCCAGGGGCGGCTCACCTCCTCCTCTGATGCCGTCGGAGGCCAAGGAACGTCAAAGACAAAGCCGCCTCCCTCCCTGCCGCAGCACCGGAACAGGGTGCGCCCAAGAGTCTGCAGCGCACTGGGGCCGACTGACGTTCCGAAGCCAGTGGCTCTCGTGGTAGGGACTGAGTCAGCGCATCCTGCTTTAAGGCAGAAAATTCTCCCAGCCAGGAAGGGAGAGTTGCAAAACACCCTCCCCTCCCACCTTCGCCGACTGTCCTGAGTGCTCCTCCACTGCATTTTAGGGGAAGGTCACCTTGTGTCTGCAGTGAACTCGGAAGTCAATCACACTACGCAAGTGCAGAGAATCAGTGACTTAAAGTTACTTCTTTCCTGATATAAGAGCTCCAAGCAGCTACTGGCATTGATAAAGTTTAAAAACGAAGTATATTCACCAAGCTCAATCACCTTGTTACTTTGCAGAAGACTCTGATTCAGGATAATGAGTGAGTATGAAGTATATTCTGCCAATCTCAGCTTTCCTATCAACCATGCGAGACACAGAAGGAAAGCAGCTTCTACAGTTAGGGTTTGAATTCTACCAGTACTGAGAGCTCAGCTCAAGTTAGCATAGTTCTGAGTTGGCAATTTCCCTCTTTTGCTTTCAGTACTGTCTCCTTCCACGTGAGTGCGCTTGCATTTTTCTTCAAATCATTTTATCAGTGATGGCGTGAGCAGCCTTCTTTTAAGAGGAAAAACAATGCGGAGTGCCCTGTGTCTAAGTCAGGGGCAGCTCGCTGGGCCGCCGGCCAGGGACGGCTCTTGCTCACAGCCCCGTTCCCAGCCACCGGCCACGAGAATCGGGGCCCTGGTCTCTGAGTCACACAAACTCACAGTCACCGAGCCCTCTGGGCTCAGTGTCCTCACTAGCAAAGTGAGTATAATAGGCTAAAAGTCTAGCTTCAAAATTGTGAGTCTGTTGTTCGGTGACAAATAATCCTGAATGCCACTCACAGGGACACAGGAGGTGTGAGGGTCAGTTCTGCGGCCAGCGAGCTGTCCCGTCATATTCCTGGGACTTAGTTTCTTCCCAATTTTTTCCCAGAGGAATAAGTGTTCATTGTGGGAAATCCAAGGATAAGAAAGTAAAAGTAATAGGGCAATAAAGCGAAAGATTTCCCCCATAACCACGATCCCCACACTCCCCCACTCCCCAGGGAAAGCTACTGTTAGGATTTTGGAGCTGTCTTTCCAGAAACCTTACCATGCAAATGTAAACACATGTAACACACGTGTTTTTACATGTGTGGGCCTCTGTTCACGGAAATCGGATTAAGCAGATGCACTTTCTCCTTCATGATCTTTTATCTTTCAACGTGTCATAAATACCCTTCCCTGACAGCACACGAAGATATATGTCATGCTTTTTGACAGCCTTGTGATATTCCATAGCAGATATGCTGTTCCTCATCAATGACAGACACGCTCTCCCCAGGAGTGCACCAGCACACGCGGTGTGGCGCTGCGGGTCCTCGTGCAATGCGTACTGCATACTTGAGTTTTCTGTGGGAAAACTTTCTAGAAATGAAACTGTTGGGCCTGACAGTCTGTGAATTTGAAATTTTAATGGGTACAGCTTTGAGTTCTCTCCCCTTTCAGTTAGCCCGCTGACTGCAGGTCTTCTCTTATTGTGCAAGTATTAAAACTCGGTTTTGTTCTGGTCCTAACATGTTCAGATTCACGTTGTTTTCTTGGTAACGCTGCTAAGCACAACTGAGAGTACCAGACTGCTGACCCCCGGCAGAGGGGGAGAGACGACGGCGTGTGACCCTGACAGTGGTGTGGGGGCCGCGCCGCACTCGGAGGGCCACTGCTGCTCAGAACCACCTGCAATTCTCACAATAACTCGCAATTCGGGACCACTACCTTAGCCTCAGCTGTGATTCAGAGGAGTCTGAATGACAATGAGTCACCCTAATCACTGTGACAAATCATTTTCCTGTTCCATCTCACTGCAGGGACCTGCAGTGACTGCAGGCTCTTAAACCACTTCGGTACGAGTGTTGGCTACAGTCAACAGCCACGGATGAACGCACACAGCCCAGCGTGGACTACAGGCGACGGCCACAGATGAATGCGCACAGCCTGGTGTCGACTGTAGCCAACAGCCATGATATGACTTTTCTAATTTTTCTTTTATTAAAATAAAATTGTGAACATTTAAAAATAATGTAATGAAAACGTATGTGTCTATGTTACCTATTCTGATTTACATTCCGAGTAAAGCCGCCTGGGAAGTGAAACGAGCTTTCAGTGCTTTCAAGCTTTCCTCGTCACACAAGAGCGAGACGGACGCATCGTCAACGCGCAGCACAGACCCCCGTGCGACTGCGAGTGCGGCTGCGGGCCAGGCGTCGCGGCCGGTGAGCGCGGGACAGAAGTGGCTAACAGGTCACCTGCACACAGCAAGCCACAAAGTCCCACCTGATGCCTCCCGGTGCCCCTCCTGCCCCGCACCTCCTCTCCCTCACACAGCAGGTGTTCAAGACTCACGCGAGGCAGCTGCAAAGTAACTCCACGCCTTCCTCACCTTATAAAGGGAACTCTGTCGATCAGAAGCCCCTGGTGCTGATTCTAACGATGTCTTATGTGTCATTTACGGCCTCACGCCGATGACAGTCGCCAGGTACCGATAGCTGCTTAAATTACACACGTCGAAGGGACATACTTAGCTTGCAGTTATCCAAGTCACAAAGCAAACGTGAGAAAGCGAATGACACACCGACTGGGACGCTCATCCTGGCTGTGCACGGCAGACCTGCAGAACACTCCATACGTCTTCTGTTCTGAATCTCATACGTGAGAATGGAAACAGCGAAGTGCGCGGCGGGTGTGGAACTGAACAAGCGTACGAATTAGTAGTTACATGCACATAGCTCGTCACGTTAGAGAAGAAAATCTGCTAATGAAATGGCCGAAAGGCGTTCAGTATGGGAAAGAAGAAAAAGGAGCAAAGAAGGATCTAGAATGACTACTTACTAACCAAACTACAGGAGGAGGAGGCCTCATTCACTCAGACCACATAAATGTGAAATCTGCGATACTTCTGAGAGATTTCACTAGCAACTAACAAGGGGGCTTCTCGAATAAATCGAAGGTGTAAAGGCTGGCAAGAAGACCGCTCAAGACAAACTACTTCCAAGCTCTTGGGAAGCACACAGCACATTATTATCTAGAACCATGGCTTTGCTTCCTGCCAATACTTTCTTAGTCTTGACTAGCCAAGTTCTTTGTATGAATAAATTTTACTTTTTACACAAAGTTTTATGATTCTGGAGTCTTTTAAATTCATAACAACCTGTCTCGCAGGTACAGTTGTCCCTCCGTACCTGCAGGGGACTGGTGCCAGACCCACATGGACATCAGAATCCAAGGATGCTGATGTCCCTCATATACTGTGACACGGTGTAGCATGTGCGTGTGACCCGCCCATCCCCCTGTGCACACGTGACCCGCACATCCTACACACCTTAGACCATCTCTACATTACCTGTAATACCTGGTACAATGTGAATACTATATAAATAGTTGTTATCCTATATTTTAAAATGTGTATTATTTTTATTGTTGTACTGTTATTTTTTCCCTAGTATTTTTTATCTGCAGTTGGTTGAATCCAAGGATGCGGAGCCTGGGGGTGTGGAGCCTGCCCTAGGGAGGCCTGACCATGACCTAGACAGGGGCCGTTATGGAAAAACAAAAGGTGTCAATACGATTTGAGATGAGTGTGTCCTAATGTTGCTTGTCAAAGCGTCTGGAAAGATCTCTCAAGTGACAGAGACAGGAAATGCGATGACCAGTCTGCTGCCGTGCCTCCACTGTTTTCTTGTTTGCTGCGGCACTCTGGGAGTGGCGGGCAGGGCCTTCCGCAGCCGACAGAGTGTGGCTCAACCTCCTCCACCCGGCGCCTCCCAGCTGCCCGCCCTCCTCCACCCACACCCCTTCCCTGCGCCCCTGCACAAGCAGCCTGGGGCCTCCACCCGGCTCCAGCCTCCACCAGACCTCTCTCCTGTTGGGTCTCGGTTCTCTCCTGAAGCTTCTGCCGGCTCCGCTGGGCAGAGCCGGTCGCGCCCTCCTCTGAGGACTCTACTGTTTTCACCCCTGGAACTGATGGGTCGGACCGTTCTGCGCCTGGGCTCTGCCCTGCCCTAAACCGGGGCCTGGTGAACGCCTCGCTCATTCAGGGGAATGCTGAGCACAGAACACACTGAGTCAACGTTTGCCGAGTACATGAATCACCCTGGATTTGTCTGCTAGCTTTCTAGAGCATTTGGAAAGACTTCCAAGTATGCCTTAAATAATAACTTTTTAACAGTTGGAATTCATCCTTTACTTATTAGGAAGTTGGCAGGGAGGACACGCTGTGGGATGTTATCGTCCAATTTCCTGTTGCACAACTTTCTTCCACCTCATATATTCTAATAAATCTTAGATAAAATGAGATGGCAGCTGTGGGCAAATGACTTTTGAGGAGAGGCTGAGACTTAGAGCCAGAAAAGCTCTGTGTCGGCCACTCTGAAATCAGCAAATTCTTCCACTTCTCAAAGCTCGCTTGTTTTTCCTTTGACATGTGTGTGTGCACGCAAGTGTGGGTATTAACAGCGCCGTTAAATATTTACTGAATAAATGAATAAAGTCGTCCATCTGGACTTGGGCAGAGAAAGGTCGATCAAGCGCAGCCTTTATTTCTGGGCGCATTCAATCCTGGCTTTTAATTTTTTAAATGTGATCTGGCTATTGTTTTCTAGAGGAATGTGCCCAAAACGGAACAAAACAGAAAACAGACCGGTCGAGGTGGCTCATGCCTGTAATCCTAGCATTCTGGGAGGCCGAGGCGGGCAGATAGCTCGAGGTCAGGAGTTCGAAACCAGCCTGAGCAAGAGCCAGACCTCCCCACCCCCCGTCTCTACTAAAAATAGAAAGAAATTAATTGGCCAACTAATATATATAGAAAAAAATCAGCCGGGCATGGTGGCGCATGCCTATAGTCCCAGCTACTCGGGAGGCTGAGGCAGGAGGATCGCTTGAGCCCAGGAGTTTGAGGTTGCTGTGAGCTAGGCTGACGCCACGGCACTCACTCT